GCATGGACCTTCTGGTCCATCATGCTGTCCATCCTTCGCTCCATTCTGGCCTCGGACACTTCTATAGAGTTTTGCATCCATACCGGACATGGTGGAGTAGCGTGGCTATCTGAGCCTCCAATTTCTGAACCCTAGCCAATGGTACAATAGCAACTCCTAAAGGTGGAGTGGATCAGGATGAGCTAGGAGCCCGACTTGCGGCCTGAGATGAGGAGGCCGGGACATCATTAGTGTGGGCTAGAGGGGCAGGATCATCACCTTGCATCTGCTCCACAACATCTACTAAATCAGCTCCCATGGGCAGCACATCAACATGCGGCTCTTTGCGTGGCGCTGCCACATTTGCCTCATCCCGAATGAGGCCTATATCTAGTGTCCCTGTGGGCCGGATCAACTTGTCACAATGCCAGATCGGCACTCCAGAGTACTTACATAACTGGAAAATGAGACAAGGAAAAGGGTAAGTGGTGAAGGCTTTGAAAACCCTCTCATGTATCTCCAGAATGAGCATGCGGGTAAAATTGATCTCGAATCCCGCAACGAATGTTGCTACCATGACCGCGCGGTCCCAAGTTAGTGCGTTATCAGCCTTCGTAGGAGAAATACGATTGCGAACCAACAACCAGAGAAATTTAGCCACAGATGTGAGAGTGGCCTTCTTGATGCTCATGCCCAGAGTGGTGACCCACTCGGCTCTCTATTCGTCAGTAGCAATTTGACTAGCTAGCCAGTGTAATAAAGTCTCTCTTTTCTCAGTGCTCCGCTGGAACTCACTGCCCTATACAGTGTCCCATCTGTAGTCAAATCCAGCCGTGTTGAGTGCCCAAGAATGATCAGGGCCAGGACCATAGATGAACCGGCGGATGGTGGTCTCAAAGATGTCTATAGAAAATCCGCGCACTAGTGTAGTTGTGAGGGGTGCCTGGGCAGTGGGTCTGGCATTCTTATGGATAGAACCCCGAAGACTAGACGCATAGGAAGAATATAACTCCCTCGCAATATCCTCTCTATAGGTGCCTGGTTCTAGATCCAACCACTCACACTTGTGACGTGGAAAGAGCCGGTGGATTTCTGGTACGGTGTGTAGGCTCCCATTAAGGACTTTACGCTCCTCTATAATAAGTCAGACCATCTTCTCTTTGTCATTTTTCATCTTGTCATCCCGATAAATTTTCCATTGGCCCTCAAAACACCATCTGTTTGGCTCCCCAGCCACCAGATCAGGATCATAGCTTCGTGGCACCGGGACTTCTCCCGAACTAGTGGCCTCATCAGACGAGGCTGCTTTGTAATGTGAACCTGAGCCTATCGCGGATCCAGAACCAGAGCTGAAATCATGGGCGGGCTCAGAGCAAGAAGAAGTGGCAGACTCTGAGCTGGAAGTAGAACCAGCCGGTGACCAGATTAGTGTGTTCTCCACAACAGATGGTTTTGTGGGTGGGGACTCACGATTTTTCATGTCTAACTCCAAGTTCTTTGGTTTCGAACGATATTCGCACCTATCAAGTGTGGCGACCAACTCATCATACTCTTCAATACCATCACTCTCAAAGTTCATCATAACCGCTGCAAGTGCCTCAACACCTAGTCTTTATTCAATTTGCACCTCAGACCCACTCTCAACTATATATGTTATCGCATGGAGCACACCAATGGGCCTCTTCACAGTTCTATTGGCCATGAACAACCGCATCGCAGTCGGCATTGGATCTCCCAGACCCAATTTCTTGTAAATAGACAATGGCATCAGATTAATGCTAGCACCAAGATCACATAACGCTTTAGCCAAATACAACAACCCGATAGTACATGGAATAGTGAAGGCACCAGGATCCTCCTTTTTCTGCACAAGGGACCTTGTAGCAATAGCACTACAATGTTGCAATCTATCATTATCTTCGAAGCTCACTGCCCTCTTCTTTGTCACCATGTCCTTCATAAATTTTGCATACCCAGGCATTTGCTCTGAACCCTCTTTCAACGAAACATTGATTGAAAGCTATTTCAACATGCTAATAAACTTGTGGCATTTGACTTCTTCAGTCTTCTTCACTAACCTCTATGGGAAGAGAGGTGGAGGCCTAGGTATGTGGACAACTTTCTTAGTTACCTCCGCTTCTTTCTCTGTCGCATTCTCGAACTCTCCACTTATCTCGACCACATCATCATCTTTACTATTCTGAATTTCCACCCCAGATGGCATAGGTGGATCAATGGTTTGCTTACCCCCTCCAGTAGTGACTGCCATACAATTCCCATTATTCTTTGGATTCTAGATGCTGTTGCTAGGAAGAGTGCCAGGTTGACGTGGATTTACTATAGTTGACAACTAAGTCATCTGCTCTAAAGATGCTTGATTGACACTACATGGGCTTCAACTTTTTGACCAATACCAGACAAGTCATTTCTTATCTCCTTCACATTCTCATCAGTTGCATCAAACCTCCTCATCATCTTCTGCATCATATCCTCAATACATGACATATTACTTCCAGCTTCCCTAGGACCAGATTCCCAATTTTGAGGGGGAACATAAGGTCCAACCCGATCATTTATGTTGCCATAGTTGTTCTGGTTGTAGTTGTTGACGCGATTGAAGTTTCCATCTCGGACATATTGACCCTCTCAATTGTAGTTGCCATAGTTCCGACCTTGGTTTCCTTGACCTTGGCGCCAATTATCCGTATTGGAACCTTGGGCGTTTGGTCGAAAACCCCCCGTCTGATCATTAACCGCATAAGTATCCTTTTGATAGTAACACTGCTTAACCGCTGGTGTATTCCTAGTCAAATAATTCACATCATTTACCTTCTCCGCTCACATGCTTCAAAACCAACCCTAGTTCAGTCTTAATCTGAGCCATCTCCTCACGAATCTCATCTGCAGATATGTTGTTTGTAGCTTGAATGGCAAACGTGTTTCTCCCAGCATCCGACCTTCTAGTGCTCCAAGCTTTGTTGTTTCGAGAGATATTTTCTAGTTTCTCCTCAATCTGCTCAAAAGTGCACTCACCATATGAGCCTCCAGCAATAGTATCAAGCACTGCCTTACTGTTGTCATCCTGACCTCGGTAGAAATATTCCTTCAGTGACTCATAATCAATACAGTGATTCAAACACCTCGTATGAAAGCAGTGAACCTGTCCCAAGAACTACTCACAGACTCTCCAGGTAGTGCTAGAAAATTGTTGAGTTTATCTTTGTGGTTCAACTTCTTGGGCACTGGAAAGAATCTTTCTAGAAACGCATCGGTCAATTGTTCCCATGTATAGATTCATTTATAAGGAAGCTCATTAAAGCACACAGCAGCATCGTCGGTCAATGATAGAGGGAATACTCGCAATCCAATGACATCCATGTCTAAGTCCGGTCGACCCACACAACTTTTGCAAACAATTCTCAGCTTGGTTACGTGCGTATGTGGATCTTCTAATGCCAAACCCGCAAAAAACCCCTCACCGTAAGCATCTGCATCAAACTGCTAGTCACCACAAAGGTATGCCCTGGAGGTAGAGGATGTAGGACAAGAGGTCCGTCAGATTCAACAGCGTTAAAGTTGACCCTATAGTTATCATGCAGTCTTGGCCCTGGTTGATTCTATACCCTCACTGCATCTCTCAATAGATTCTCAGCTTGAATCTGATTATTTTCATCACCAACCCTCGGAGGCTCCAACCCAACACCATCACCTAACTCTCCTCTGATAGGATTAGCGGGCACTCCTTGATTATTCATTCTCCGCAAAGTTTTGTTCAGTTCTAGATCGTAAGGAGTAAATGGTTCTCCTTGACTCAGTGTACTTGACATACACTAGAGTAGGAACCTGAGAGAGACAAAAACAAAAACAAAAAAAAGTAAAATTAAGGAAATATTTGACTAAATTTCAATAACGTAGTTAAACTTAATTTAAAAGCCAAATTCCCCGGCAGCGGCGCCAAAATTTGATATGCTCAAATTACACCTCCCTAAAGAAACATAAGCGATCGTTATCAAGTAAAGAACCCAACTTGTAGGTTGGGGCCGATCCCGTGAGGAATATGGTTTAGACTTAACTTTAACCAACGATTATATCCGTCTAGTCAATGTATTTCCGAAAATAAGTAATTAAAGGGAGGAGGGGGGGGGGGTTTGGTGAACAAATTCAGGAAATTATGTAAGTAATCAATAAGAGCAATTCAAACTTTAGGTCTTATCAAGTAAAGAAAGTAACTAGGGTGTATGTGTTCCCCATAAACTCATAACACAATAATCCTAGTAATAGCAATCCTTTCCTAGTGTATTACATGCAAAGTGATAAGTTCGGTATCTCTAAATCCTTGGTCCGACATCTAGAGAATTTCACCCCGCATCTTGGTCCGGCTACGTGTGTATAATTTATAACCCTTACCTTTACATCATATTATACAACACATCGATGTTTGGTTTAGTTTTCACCCTCGCACCAATCGACATTAGACTATTAGATAGTATCACACTAAATCTATGTTGATAATTATTTTCTTATTAACTACCTCCTTGGTTCGGCAAGTACCAACAAGGCCAGTTCTAACGCGTGCACTCATTAAAAAGAGTTCTAAACTAAAGAATTATCAATGCATGCTACAACAGTATTGAAGAATTTTTTAGTTACTATTCATACTTTTTTAATCGCTCATGGTTCCCACAACCCTAATTATGGATTTAGTTACCCATATTAGTAAGAACACAATGCATATTTTTAGAAGAAGAAATCATGAACTAACGTAATGAGAATGATAAACCCAGAATTTCAACTTGAATTTCCAAACCATAATCTTCAAAACGAACTTAGGAAATTAAGAATTGCTAAAGTTGCAAGTTAATCTCCAAAGCCAAAAACTAGAGTAAAAGTAATGAAGTCTAACCTCCAAAAATGAGGTTTACATGCCCTATTTATAGAAAAACAAGTTCTAAATAAAAAGGAAACAAAATAAGGAAATAATGTTCTAGCACACGTCTTCGATCTATGACAGTGACCTACGGACTGTGGATTGATCTACGGTCCGTAGGTCCCTTCTGTGACTCAGGACTTTGCCATTCTTTCAACTTCAACAATAGACACCTCCCAGCTTCAATTGACGGATTACAGTCCATAGATCAGTCTACAGTGAGTAGATCATTCTCCGTAGCTTCATACTTAGAATCTTCCAAAATCAGGTACTGGAACCCCTCTCAATCGCATTTGACGGATCAACAATACGGTCCGTAAATCAATCTACGGTCCGTCGTTTACAACTGTGGCTCTACACTTGGTCAAGAATTCCCTGATCTTCCTCCATGCCTTGCTAGTCCATCTACGATCATCATCTATAGAACATGAATGGACCTACGGTCCGTCAATCACATTCGTAGATGGGCTTTTCTGCACATTCTTCAGTTGTGTCTCTCAGTTTTCACGTCGGAACATCTTTCCTGAGTTGCCACGTTCTGGCATAACTAACATGGATCGGTTTCCATGTTTCGGCATAACTAACTTGGATCGGTTGCCACGTTTCGGCAAAACTAACTTGGATCGGTTGCCATATTCCAGCATAACTATGTGATCAGTTGCCACATTCTGACATAATTATTGGATCGGGCACCACGTTCCGGTATGCTAAAAGTTTGGGTTAGCGTTACATGAGAGAACCAATGATTTGCTATAATTGTGTACTGTGAGAAATGGGGAGGTTGCACCTTGTTCGTAAATAATAATCGACATTGTATTTTCCCCGGAAGGCTATAAGGTGATGAGGACATTAATCTTAAATGTTGTTAATATGGTATATTTTGATACAGGCATGTGATTATGTTGTTGTAATGGCAAGGAGTGGGGGTATTGTACGTGTTGTAAGTGCTGAGGTGGATTTCACTTGGAGGAAGGTAATTGTGTTTAAGGGCTAGAAAGTGTGACATAATGTACTATGTGACCGTGGTTGGGTAATGTGACGAGAAAGTAAGGGTATGACATGAGTGGTTAGTTAGAATGTTTGTGGTTGTATTCAGGGACTTTTCCATGTGTTAGAATGGTTAGACTATGATCGAGAACCTAGTAAGTAGGTTGACCGGGAAGGTGGCTAGCAATTAAGCGTACTAGTGTGATTTAGAGGTATTTCGAGTGAGGGTAAAGGTGGAGAAGCGAGTGGTTGTATTGCATGATCTTACTAATTGATTTGTTATGTTACGTGGTGGGCGTCGGGTTGACCGATGATGCCTACCAGTACGTGTGTTTGTACGGATACTACTCTTGCTATGTCATTTTGACATAGTCTGGAAGCATGTTGGTGATGTTTCATTATGTGAAGACGAAGAAATTCTCCAGCAACTTCTATCTTTCCTTCCGCATGGTGGGAGTTGTGTCTTTATTTATTATGTCCAGTTGTACTCTTAGTAGCTCTTGTATATTTTTAGACTAGATCCTTGGGGCTGTGAAATTACTTTGCCAGTCGTAACCAAAGTTGTGTTAAAGTTTTTTACTTATAAAATTTTGTTAGTATATTTTTAATTTCATTTTATTAAATTTTCTGCATGATTTAGTTATGCTGTAAGAGGGTTCTCCTACTTAGGTGGTAGTACGTAGGTTCCTGCACAGCCCGGTGGGTTGGGTCGTGATATATTTTAAGCCTGGCAGCGTATGCATATGTCTATTGTCTAATCAAGAATCATGTATGAGCCATGCAACACGTGGACGTGTCTGTTCAAGAATCATTAGTGTGCTTCTCTCTTGATGAAGTAGATGACACAGTATGTATAGACATATATATATATATATATATATATATATCCTCAAATGGTTGATACTCTTTGATTGATCACCCACTGCAAGATGATACGCTTTTTAACTATTTGCTTTTTGTTTGCAAGGTTGCTCGTGGATCCTGCTGGTAGTGTTTGGCTGATAATAAGTCTGTTCATGTAAGTTCATGTGTCAAACAACGTTATAGTTGTGAAATGCAACACTGGATGCAAGAGCACCCTAATAATATGTGGCTTACTGTGGGACCGTAATAGGTAATTTAAGAAGCTCATAACTTTAAGATGAAGTATGCCCTAGTATTTTTGTCTTTAAAGGTCGATTGAAAAACGGTGCTCAACATTTTGATTATTCTTTAGTTGAAGTGATTAGTGAAGTTGTTTCTTTCTTTTCTTGCTTCCATCACGAAGTTGTTCACTTGTAATCCGTCTAATAAGGAAACTTTCTTTTTTAAAGTAAAGTTTTTTCTGGATAGATGCTTTAACACACAACGCATTCATGTAGATAAATGTTTCAAACAATAATTAATGGGGATTTGAATATAACATGATACTAGATGATGGGCTACTCTAAGCAGTATCCATGTTGTCATGTGAGGGGCATACTCTAAGTAGTATCTGTAGGCTACTAATTCTAGAAATGTGGTCAAATTAATGTGTTGCTTTTCATATTAAAGGGGGACATAGAAGTAGGTGAAATCTCATGATCACATGGTTCTTGGCATTTTTGTTTGAGCATGTTGCTTATGATGTTCTTTAAGTCTCTTTTCTGATGCACTATTAGAGTTCTACATATATTAAGATTTTACAGGTCCAATTCATCAAAGTAGCTTATTTTGGGTGTGACCGTCACATGATGTATTACTAAAAATCATTGCTATCTTTGTGAATATTCAGAGAAACCATTGTATCTGAATTTTTAAGGATAGTTATGTCTTGCCCTCTGGTATTGAACTACATATGGGGGATCTATGTATCATTGTTAGCGAGGCTTGGTCAAGCATCAGGTAGCAGAGCCATAGGGCGCTAAAACTAAAGATCTCAACTACAGTCACATTTCTGACTTGTTCTCGACATGTGGAATTCATTAGCTTGATGTAGTACATGTAGATTTTTAAGCTTCACGAAATCATTGGTACTATGTTTCTGAAGATTATTGCTATTACATTGGTAAGACCTATTAATTTACTCTCAAGCTGGCAAGGACAAAGAATTGACAACAATATGAAATAGTTTTGGAAGATGTTTGATGTGAGAGGGAAATTACTGTTGTTGGGCCACTAATATTCTTTTTGGAGATTTTTGATTCTGTGGTATAAAGGAATTTTCTTATCCTTCCGTTATCTTGTATTTTTCCAGTACCAAGGTACTAAGTCATTAATAAACTTCTTCAGGTATGCATTTTCTGGCAATTATAGTGGTCTTTTCTGAATGACTATGTGGTGGATGTGCAGGAGGCATGTTGGTAAAATACTTGATGAGATGACTGTGAGTTATGAATATTTTTGAGGTTCTCCATTGGAAATTTACCTCCCGAAGGTTGTTGCAGGTTTGAGTTTTACAGTTGGCACAAGCCTTCTTTGCTAACTACTGATTGCTAAGTAGTCCTAGATTCTCTTTCAAGTAGGGATGGGCATTCTGTTCTCCGATTTTTTGGTATTTATGCCCACTCCTACTTTCATGTGACCTTGTGTTAACAGTCAAGTGTTGCATTTATGGAAACAAATTCACCGACCCTAATAATCCCTAACCTTTTAGTTTTCCTTGTGGAACTTCATGTAGGTCATATTTTGTTCTCTCCAGTTTTCACTAACATTTGTGTAATTCATTTATATTTTCAAGTAGTAATATGTGTATAAAATTTCCTGGTTTTATTAGTATGGGTGATCTCGTCATCGGTAGTGATGTCGTGTAGTTTCTTTTTTATTTGCCAAGTGGTTTTTGGTCTAGATGTGTTTGTGATGGGATTTTTTATAATGATCTTTGACATTTTGCGTAAGAGTTGTTCCCTAGCTCGTAATAAGGAGGGTAGTTGGTTGTCTGTTCTAATAGGTTTCCATATCTTTTGAAGATGCTATCTTTTTATGTTTGAGCAAGGGGTGGATTCCTAAAATCACCTGGTTGCTAGGGAAAGTGAACTGCATATAATGATTGATAGAGTGAGATATTGAAAACGTTTTAGCGTGGGGACTAAAAGCACCTGTTCTATTTTTTTGTTAAATTTCTCATTTATCTTCTTACTTAAAGTCTTCTGACGCTAATTACTTTGTTAACATCGGCATGATATTATTTTGATCCTACACTTATGCCTTTTTCCCTTACAAATTCAATGGATAAAATTTAGTGACTTTAGTAATATAAAAGATTACCAAAACAATAGAGGATATACTTGACTAGGGGGTGCAATTATTTTTAAAAAGTTATGTCATCCCAATTTTTTTGGGGATTTTATAATATATAATCAAAATTAGATTTTTAAAAATCAATGCAATCATATCGATTTTTCTTCGATATAGGTACTTTTTGGTTAATTTTCATTTTTTTTTCCTTTTATATCATTTCAAAATACATCATTATTAAAGCATTTCTTTCACAAGTGTTTTCTTGAAGAATCACTTCAAGTATTCACCAAGAAGTCAAGAATTTAAAACCTTGTTGTCGTATGATTTTATCTGAAACTTTTAATAGGAGTCTTTGCATAAATTTGTTGTATAGTTTGATGGAGTATCTATTATAGTATCTTTTAATTTTAAACCTAATTAATTAAAGGCTAACTAAAAAGCAAAACCCCAAAGTCATCCAGTTACCATAGGCCTAGGACCTAGTTTATATTTAGGAAATTTTACACAAATCCCATAGCGTTCAAAGCTAATTAGATTGGAGTGCATGCGGTCAAGCTACTAGTAGGATATGGCTTCCTTTCTATTAGATTGAGCTTGAATACGTAAATCCATGTTGATTTGAATGATTTGGGGTGAGTACCTAGTTGTTCTTTTTTTTCCTACATTAGATATAATGCTTCGGCTTGACTGGCCGTATTTTCAGTTGTAGTACCATGCTAGTTAGAGATTGTATATGTTCCATGTTGTTGTGGATTGATTTGTTGTTGTTACTTGTTATATATTTGAGCATGTTCGGCCTTAGACTAAGATTAGACTAGTTTTGCCTTAGACTTGCGGTAATTATAGACTAATTGCCTTGCTTCTTTTATGACGTCAATTTGGACAGACTAGATCCTTCTAGACTCGAGTAGAGGACTTGAGTCTAATATTATGAGCCTTAGTCTAGGCATTTTCAAAGATTTACAGATATTCTATCCTCTCTCTCTATTTCTGCCGCTACGGTGCATTACCAGAGGTTTTGTGCTATTGCGGC